AACAACAAAAAAAGGAAAAATAGAAAGCAATCAGAAAACAAAAGAAAGAAGAAAAAAAAAGATTAACAGAAAATCTCCTGCTGACTTAAATTAATTTTAAATGAGTCATATACTGAGAATTTCTATTTGTAAAAAGTTTTTACATCAGACAGTTAAGCACTTTTCTCCAAGGACAACAGACTTACCACACTTTCAGAGACATGTCAAAGAATTTTTATACAATAGTCAACATCAAATATTTGATTTTTCCATAGGGTGAGTAAAACAGAATGATGTGAAAAAAATAATAAAAATATGAACAATTCTCTGTTGTGGCTTAAAATGTTATATAAGATTTGAAGTCTTATAAAACCTGAAATCTTCGGGTAAAAATTCATTGTTATAAAAGAATAAGAATGGAAACAAAAAGAAAAAAAAAAAGAAACAATTGTTTTCTTTCTGTTCTAGAATGTTATACTCCTATAAGTGAAATGAATTGAACAAATTAAATCCCTTCTAGACAGACTCTCCCACCAACTCCTACTACATTCTGTTGCAGAAGAGCTTACTCCCCACTCCTATTATTTACTTAAAAGTATTTAATAATAGTGCCAATATTATAAGAGTAAAAGTCATACACTTCTCAACTAACAGGAGCTGGAAAATGCTTCCTAGGGAATAGGGTCTAATCCTGCAAGATTAGAGATTGCAACATCAACTGAATTGAGAATAAAGATGAACTGTGTCATATCACAGGTCTTAATTTTTAGATGACTCATTGCAAAGAGACTAGAGCAGCTAGTTTTGAATTACAGAGAAAACTTGGAATGAAAAATGGAGAGATAAACCATGTTTGTTGGGAAATCCTCATCTTTAACTAATAAAGGCTTTTAATATGTACTTTTTTTCCCCCTCTTGCTCAATTAAAAATATGTTAATACAATGTTAAGTTTGAGATTTAAACCCACAAGAGTCAGGAAATTCAGAATTAAGACTCCCTTGGTAACCTTAATTCTGTTCCCATTGTGCATATTATATTTTATGATAGGGTCTTTCATTACATGATCACATAACACTGGGGCAGTGTGACATGCAAAGAGTGGTGTTGAATGAGTGTGTGGTTTGTTATGGAGGTTAAAGAAATGTCAGTGTCACTAAGTAGTCTTGCAAAAACGTAGCAACTGCACTTTTTATAAAATTATTGTTTCATTATTGAAACAATCACTTTGGCCATACTGTTGCATACAAGCACTATTTTCTTCTTAAAATGGTATGAATAGCCAGATAAGAAAAGAGGTTTTTCTCCACAGACTGCTCTCAAACACTTGTGAAGGGGATCTTCAAAACCCATGTAGTTGTATGTTAGGAACTGCTGCTTTCTCTTTTGTCTTTAGAAATTCTATGGGTGGTACCAAGCCCTGGGAAGATGTTGGACTACTGTTCTGGAATATGAACTATTTTGTTAACCACTAAAAAAGTGTCTGGGAACTTTTTAGTATAAAAATAAAAATGCTTCAAAATATTGCCCAAAACTATTTAATATTCTGTAAGAAAGGTGTGAGGCTTGCCAGCTCTTGAGTTCAGAGGTTATCATCAGTAGTGGTCTGCTCATTTCTGGGAACAATTTTTGATTTGGAGATATAAAGCTATATTGGAAGCAAAGATCTGAGTCGTTCCTCCTTCAGACCTCTTAACTACATGGACCCTAAAATTTGTTTAGTGTCATGGACACTAACTTCTGTTAGGGCATTATTTCATAGAATCATAGAATCATGAAGGTTGGAAAAGACTTTCAAGATCATCTTGTCCAACCATCACCTTACCACCAATATCACCCACTAAACCATGTCCTGAACCACCATCCAACCTTTCCTTAAACACCCCCAGGGATAGTGACTCCATCACCTCCCTGAGCAACCCGTTCTAATGCCTGACTACTCTTTCTCAGAAGAAATGTCTCCTAATTTCCAACCTAAACCTCCCCTGGTGCAACTTGAGGCCATTCCCCGTAGTCCTATCACTAGTTACCTGTGAGAAGAGGCTGACCTACAGCTTCCCACACCTTCCTTTCATGTAACTGCAGAGAGCAATAAGGTCTGCCCTGAGCCTCCTCTTCTCCAGACTAAAGAACCCCAGTTCCCTCAACTACTCCTCATAAGACTTGCGTTCCAGACCAGCTTTTTAGCCGTTCTCTGGACATGCTCCAGGGCCTCAATGTCCTTCTTGTACTGAGGGGACCAAAGCTGAGCACAGTACTTGAGGTGCAGCCTCACCAGGGCAGAGTACAGGGAGACAATCATCTCCCTGGCCCTGCTTGCTACACTATTCCTGATACAAGCCAGGGTGGCATTGGCCTTCTTGTCCACCTGGGCACAGTGCCAGCTCCTGTTCAGGCGAGCATTGACAAACACCCCTAGATCCTTTTCCTCTGCACAGCTTTCCAGCCGCTCTGCCCCAAGCCTGTGGAGCTGCATGAGGCTGTTGTGACCAAAGTGCAGGACCTGGCACTTAGTCATGTTGAACCTCATCCCATTGGCCTCTGCCCATTGACCCTTCCTGTCCAGGTCCCTCTGCAGGGCCTTCCTACCATCCAGCAGATCGACATTTTCCCCCAACTTGGTGTTTGCAAATTTATTGAGTGTGTACTCATTTCCTTCATCCAAATCATCAATAAAGATATTAAAGAGGATGGGCTCCAACACTGACCTCTGGGGAACAGTGACTGGTGGTTTAGTCAACCACCTAAACAGTACAAAGATACTTCCATGGGTTAAGACTCTCCTCCCAGTCATAGGAAATCTGTCATATTTATGTTTATTTAATGGCAACTAATGTGTGTTAAGGGCATGCCAATATACTTTTTTTTTTTTCTTTTGAGGGACAACTTCATGGGTGGAAGAACTTTTAAAGGACTAGTAATTTCCAGGTAGGTGAAAGGGGAAAAGTTCTCTGGCTATGTATGTGTCCTGGCAAACTCTCTTTGAAATGCTGCATATGTCAGAATCAAAAGCAGAGGAGTATATTCAGAAGGATGATTTGAGAGCATGTAGACATCCCAGATGTCTTGTCCAACTAGGGTATGCACTATAGCCAATCACAAAAATGTTTGAAATATTTCAAAAAAGAGTTCATATTTTTGAACATAGGAACTACTTTTTGGACAGGAAGTTGATCATCTCTATCCTTTGGCATGATTGCTTGCAGTTTTTCTTTATATTTTGACTTCAGTTATTATATTTTAGCCTTTTTTTAAGCATGTTTAATTTATTGCACAGAGGTAAAATGGTGGAATTTAATTATCTGTGACAAACATAAGGTTAGTTTGGATGATATATAGGTCTCATCTGTCCCTAAACTTCATGAATTGATCAACTTTGGGAGCAGCCTGGTTTCCTACCTTAAACATCTAACTTGCAATGAAATTTTTAGTGCTTAGTGAATAAGCAGCAATGTGTTAAAGTTCCCTCTGTAGGCAATGAAAAGATTCAGGTGCCTTTGGAATGTAACCACATAATTTGGAGAGAATCTTTTCTGCAGGATTCAAGGATGCAGGATTTTGTGGCCAACACTTTTCTGTTCTAGCCCATATAGAAATAAGGTTCACATACCTTGGACTGAAACTTCTATACAACTAAAGTCTTATAAGAAATATTTTAAAAAGCAATATCACTTCTGATGAACATCAAGGTGACAAGGCAGAAAAAAAGCAGTGCTTCCTAAAACCAGTCATATTGTATTGGGGAAATTAAACATAAGCAACCAAAAATCTGGCTTTTAATTTCTAATCTTCAAAGATTTTTCATTATCTTAAGTAAATTATTCAGGAGTTATGAAGCTCAGTAAAATATGCCCCTGATCTAGGCACACAGGCCTGATAGTTTTCTTATTTTTTCTTATTTTGTAATGTGACAATGACAGAAATACTGAATTATTTTGCCTGGGGGAGGGCAGGAGAATGAAAGAGCCTTACTGACACCTCTTTGGAAAGAGGACCTGAGTTTCTTCCCAGCTAACCTAAAACATGTTTCAAGTTTCATTCACTAAAGTTAGGAGCTGAGCTAAGTTATGAACTTAGAGGCCTATAAAGGTGATGTCCTTCCTTTGGGTAGTGTGCATGTCAGAAAATGAAATCAGTTGAAAGATTTTTTTTTCATACAAATGTGACATATTGTAGGAATTATTGCAGCATGTTCTCTTGTAGTGTTGTAATGGGCAATGGGTACATGTTGTCTTCTTCCTAAGAGCATTGTCTTAATCAGAAAGGTGCAAGAATAGCTAGTGTGTGGCAGGATGACCAAGAGAGGTGTTGCTCTGCACACCATCACTGCAGCTGAGGTTCAGTGCCCCAGCCCCGGGCCACTGGGTGGGATGTTTTCCCCTGCAGATTCAAGTAAGCTAGTTAATCTCTGGATGCTCCTAAAAATTGAGGTATTATAATATTATACCCCCTCCTCTTATTTTTCCCTTTAATCTTTTACCTCACTGAATTCTTTGCGGCACACCCTATCCCTTGCTATGCTCAACATTAACATTCATACTTGTAAGTAATTATTAATGATGACTTCAAGGCATAAAACTAAAAGCTACAAACTCTGAGGGCGGACACATGCTATACAATACCAAGGAGGACTTTAAAGGCTTCTCCTTCCTCTCCTCTTCTTTTGGATGCTAAAGACATAATTAGTACCATATTTCCTGCCTTTGACATTAAGTACCACCTCAGACAAGAAACATAATGATATTTTGTCAGCACAGACATAAAAAAGTTAGATTCAAAATGGTGGCATTCCTGTACTTAACTAGATAGTTTCAAAGAGATTTATAACCAGCTATAACCAGCTGTAGTTTTCCTCACATGGTTGCCCTTTCAGTTCCAACCTATTAAAGTCTCTGATGATCCTAAGGTCTTGTACAGTTTGACATTTGAAGTGTATCATTATTTCCTTAAAGCAACAAGATCTTTTTTTTTCCCACTGAGATTAAAAAAAAAAAAAAAAAGGAGAAGAAGTAGAAGACAAAAAAGGTCCTAAGGCAGGATAGTGAATAGCAGCAATGGGAAGGTTTAGAAAACCAGAACAAGGGCTGTGGGTGTTGAAGCAATCTGCTGCTCAGTCCTGCAGCAGGAGGGATATGAGAGGAAGAACCTGCTGCTTGCTGATGGTTGAGCTGAACAGGCCCCTTGGTGGTTAGGTAAGGAGCTGGGGTAATGGTGTGGGCTAGACAACAGAGGTGGGAAGGGGGAAAAATGTTCTCTTTTGGAAGCAACAAACTACAGAACTGGTAAAAGATATCTTTAGGCACAAAAAATCTTAAATGCAACTTTTGATGGGTGAACCAGATCCAGAAATTAAACAGAATTGGTAATAATAATTATTTTTATATCCATTTTCTGATCTGATTCACTGGGTGACTGCACAAACCTGAATTTCACTTACTGGCATAAGTATGAACGTTGTTTAAATTAAGCAACACAATGCAGATACATAAACTGAGATGACTGTCATGATGATCAGTGCTTGTTATTTTGGCTCTTGGCATAAATATAAAATAAGGGGGAAAATGTCGGAAATTCCAAGTACCACTTTTATTGATTTTTAAACAAAAAGGGTATGTCCACAAGAATTACAACTGTCTAACAGACCTAGATTTGAAATCAAATAACTTGATTTGAAATATCTACTTTTTACAGATTTTGAAATGTGACAATAACAATGTTACTTTAAATATTACTCCTAAAGTTCCTTCACTTCACAGTTTCCAGTTAATGTGTGTCAAGTCTCAAGAAAAAATGAGAAAAGAGCATGAGCACTAATGTAACTAGCAGGAATTTATCGTGTCCTTCACAAACTTCTTGTATGGTTTTCCAACAAACTGTCCTTTGGATTGTTATTTGAAGGTAGAGGGTCATCCTTCAGCCCACTTCAAAAAAAAAGAAGTTAGCTCAGGGCAATATTTACAATGACAGAACCCCTCACTTATTCAGGTCAGTTAGTATGCTATTAATACTGAAATTAGCATTAATATTATGGAATAATATTAATTAATTTTATTTCTATTATTAATAATAAACACAATATTTCTAGATACTAAGCTTATTGTGACAAATAGAAGATCTGTTTTCTGTTCCAACTCTGTAACAGATATGATGAGAGACTCTCAGCAAGCATCTTTGGCTGTTTCCCACATTGTCTGTAAAATGGACATAAGGATAATTTATAATTTACCTTATACATTTTGAGAGACATGTACTGAATTAAGCACTATGTTTCTGAACAGACTGCTATGCCATTGTGGAAAAGAGTATCACTCAAGGTCACGCCAGTGTGCTGATTGGATTTCATTTTTTTTGCTGATGTGTTCATATTTACTTATTAAATATGGCACCTGTAGGTGGTAGGAATTGTTTATTTTTTACAGATGTGCTACTATTGGATGTTATGTAGAGGTCAAGTTAATTTCCTCAAATATCTTAGTCTGTCAGACATCTTTTGAATATTGTTTTCTTTTTCTTTATGTATGGGGCCATTTATGCTGAGTCGGTAGCTCATACCCTTGCAGCTTCATATGAACGGGTAATGTGGCTTTGGTGACTCACAGACTTACTCTTCTGCTATCTGAGAAGTCATGCAAAGGGGAGATGGAGGTCACTCTTGCTACGGGAGCTGGGTCAGATTCACATGTTTTTATGAAGGGTGGTAAATGTCAGTTGTGATTTCAGATAAAATATATATATTGAGATTTCTTTGCCATTCACACAAGGGTGGTTTTAACATCAGAACATGACAGCTTTATGTCTTTTTCTCTATGGCCTGATCTCATTCTGGCTGCTTAATTCTTTTAACCTAAACATACAAAGAGGAATTCTTTACATTTGTGTATGGATCCTGGTTTTGATTTTATTATGTGTGCTAGTGTTTAAACAAAGTGTATCAAGTAGTGCTTTGCTCCTGCCTCTGCTGCCCGGATGAAGCCAGGAGAAACACAAACAGCTCCTAAAGCTGTACCATCACACATCTTATTTGCAGCTTGATGGATAATATGAACTCTGCAGATCCCTGGGTGGCCCTGAAACACCAATGGAGTGAGATTCATTTTTCCTTCCTCTTCCACCTTTATCATATATTTTACAATTTATATGATTTTCTTCATGTCCCCAGGATTCAGACTCACAGCATAATCATCAGACCTTTCTAAACCTCTAATTTCTTCTTTTAGTTCTAATAATGGTTTGTCAGACTAGACCCTCAGAGCTATTTTATGTATACAGAGAAGTAGTCAAATCTCCCTTCTACTTATACAAAAACTGAAGCAGGTTCTGAGCTAGTATGGAGGCAGAACTGAGGAACTTGGCTTGGGCAGCACTCAGGCCACATGCCCTGACCATGCACTGATGAATGCATCTGAGAGGTAGGGTCTAACTCTAAAGTAGTCACTGTTCTCTCTCAGCATAGAGGGATGGACACAGGCACTTCCCAAGAATGAGTGAGCTTATCCAGGGGAAGATATCTTATACAGAAAATGAAATGTCTACACATGTGAGAGATTCTCTCAAGTCATGAAAAGGGTATTTAGAAGTACTCTCTGGTTTTGGACAGCAAACTATAACAAGCCTCCAGTTAAAAGAGGAAAGTGCACCATTCTGGATGGCAAACAGACTGAAAATCCTCTCCTGGGAGGCAAGGCAGTGCCTGGGCTCTGAGGCTGTTCTTCCCTTTCTTCCTGCAGAGCAATAGTGAAAAGCTTGATGTAATGTCATCGAAAGGGAAATGTCCTATAAGGTTAAAAATAAACATAAAATATAAATAAATACTAGTAATAAAAAAAAAGGATTTGTCTCTCATCACCATCCTGCCTGGCAGCCCCATCAATGGTCCTGCCAGTCAGGAAGCAACAGTTAAAGATCTGTCAATCACAGATAGCAAATAAACTCTATCCCATTCCCATCCCATGAGCCTTTTCTCCTGCAGTGGAGCTACCTAGCCATCAAAGTAATTTCCATCTTTTTTTTTTTTTTTTTTTTTTTTTTTGTGTCTGTGTCTTTTTCTAGATGCTGAATGCAGCTGATGATTATTTGAGAGGTGATTCAGGCCATTTCTGGTGAGGTGATAGGCTGCTGTTAAAAGGGCAGTGTTTGGCGCTGCTGCTGGAGAAGACAAGAAAAATGAATGACAGGATTACATACGGTTATCCTGTTTGTTAGCACTTGCTTGGGTCCCATCAAGTATCCTGGCTTTAGCTCCTCTGGAAGGGTCACCAGGAGGACTGCAGTCTCTGTTCTTGCTTTGAAGTCCCTCCTGGGAGGAAGCAGGTAGGCTGAGATTTGTTCACTACCCGAGACTGAAAGATGCTGAACTCTTGTCTTCCTGGATAGTGGTGACATGATATTGCCTGTGGGGAACTGATGGGGCTAATAGAAGGAGATGGCAGTACATCAGACTGAAATCCAGATGACAAAGAGGCGTCCTTTCTGCAGGGAAACAAAAGCACCTTATGGTGCTGTGTATTTCCAAGGCTTATTCTCCTGACATTTTGGGAGGAATTTCCTTACATTTAGCTACAACAAGGAAGTGCAGTTCAGAAGAGAACATTTCACCTTAATTTTGCCACAGTCTAGTAGTCTAAACGAGTCTAGTAGATCCTGCCCTCCATCACCTTTGATGTTCATTGTGGCTTGTCCCTGAAGTTTTAATTTCTTCTGTTTGTTTGTTTTGTTTTGTTTTTGAAAGGAAAAAAAAGTTTCTTATTGAAGGGAATAAATTGTAGTACTTCAGGGAAAGGAGATCAGAGTATGTTCCTCACTATATTGCTAAATGTATTTTTTGAATGTATATTTGGCTTTCCCTCTAAGACCCATGACACAGGTAAAAGAGTTGGTGGAGAAGATACTGCTGATGCTTTCTGTTTTTTCTGAAGCTGAATCGATTCCTGTTAACAAAAGGCCCAAATCTTCTTTCAGTGGTATTGGCTAAGACTACAGGAGAATCAGGATTGCTTCAGCATTTTTAACTTTCAGAACGTCTTTGATGTGAAAGCATTGTGAAGAAAACAGGATTTTATCTAAGATGACCACAATCCCCTTCTCCCAAGGAAATAATTTCAGATTTTCCTACAATCTTTAGTCTATAGCTCAAAGCCATGTACTTGCCTTTGAGACGATTACGACTTACAGCCTAAGTGCTGAAAGCATTAAATCCACCTCTTCTCTCCCTCTTCTTTCTCCAAAAGGCTATTTTAGTGCTTACTCCTGTCCATCATACAGGTGATGGTAAAAGACAGAAGCATATGAAAATGGCTATGCTGGATCAGACTAAAGGTCTCTTTGGCCTGGCAGCCTAGCTCTGAAAAACACCAAGGGAGGCGTCCAAAGCCAGTGAAGGTCACGCAGAGATATTTCCGTCTTCTCTCTCCTCCCACCCAACCTCCAGTGATATGGGATTTCCTGAGCATGAGGTAACATCTTGTTGGACCCTAAATTTAATCTGAGTACAATGCTTTTCTAAAATTACTATATTTGTTTGTATTGGTGCAAACCGTGTCAGCATAGCCTAGCACAGAAGATGTGCTATGTGTTATGCAATCATGGGACAGAATGGCTCTCTCTGTCACACCAGAACCATACTGACAATGAACTTGCAATGCTGGTATGTAAAACATATTAAACAATTTAAAGTAAAGAAGGGTGAGGCAGCTGTGAGACATTATTAGTCTGCAAGCATATCAGAAAATCAAGCATCTACATATTTTCCATTTTACTGGAGGTATCATGTCAGAGCAAAGTTCAACAGGAGGGCCTGAGGCATTTTTCTTGCTAAGGAAGGACAATGAACAAGCTAAACATACTCTCATCTTCCTGTTTTTATGTTCAAAACCGTTTAATCATCTCCTTGTTTTTGATGCTTACAAAAAATGCTTGAGCATGAAGGGAAACTAGGAGCAAAAGTGTAAGGTACTTCTGTGACAACTGACAATGTAGATTCTGAGGTTTAATACCTAGGAGAAACTACCAGAAGATTGCTCTTTTGTCATTCTTAATAAATGAGAGGAGTGAGGTGGGCAAGATATAGAGAAGGTCTTGAAGACACAAAAAAAAGAGATGAATTAAAGGAGGGAAGCAAAGATAAAAGAGAGAAATTGATGTGGTTAAAGTGACATACTAGGAAAATTACGTTCCAAGGATCATTCTGAGATGATATGAATGGAAATGATGCTGTTTCCCAAGGCCAGGAAAGAAATCACTGCAGTCTTCATTCTGAAAAACTGCTCCAGCTCGTTTTCTGTGTTTGGTTTCTTGTGAGAAAGGGTGGTAAGAGTTACCAGTCACTAAACACCAGTGACCTATTGTAAATCCCTGGGATCAGCAAACAGCTATGATGAGTGTCAGGCAGTAATTCCAGAGCTGCAGAGTTGCAATTCCTCAAGTGCTGAGTGTGGAAGAACTTGGGGAAAATTAAGTTCCTACCCACAGGTTTCTGATTTTTTTTTTTGCTCGTCCTGTCCAATAAAAGCTATATAGGGCATAGGTAAAGTACTTATCTTTTTCTGATCTGCTAACCTCATGTGCTGTTTTTTAATATAAAACTGCCATATTTTTGTTTGCATGGCCATAAATCTTTAAGTAAGATCCCGGGTTGTTGGAGTGGAGGAAAAAAAAGGCATTGTAAAAGATAACAGTGTATATTTTCTCTCACCCTAGAGTTCTTGTTTTCTCTTTTAATGTCAACCCCAACACTAAATAATTATTCTTTTTTACTTTTTCAGTTATTCTAACAAACATGGTGCAACTGAAAAATAAGCATTAGTGTACAGAACCTGCCAATTTCCTTCCATTCCTATCATTCTCATACTTTGTTCCTTTACACTGGTTCCAATAGCCACTCTCCCTGGTAGCAGAAATATTGTAACCCTGATGTCTGTCAGCTTCTCTTTCTTTCTCTTCTGCCCTTCAAGTATATAGATTACTGCTCTTCTCAAAATGGCAAAAACTCTCAGGAACAGTCCCTTGCTTAACATGTCAAAATGTGAGTTCTGGCTGGCAATTGCTTTAGTTTCATTCCCTTGAGATCTGCTGATGCCAGAAATCAAAGCATAATTTTGCAGATGTTGAGATCCTTTAAGCCCCCTAGGTTGCAAAGCTAAGCCATAAAGCCAGCTGGCACTGTGTACGTGTGCTAAGAATGTAAAAGTATACATTTTTAGTTTTCAACCAACAATGACCGACCGCTGGTAACTTCAACAAAGTGAAGTATTACTAGCTTTATTTTTGGAGAGTAAGTGGCTCTATGCATTCCCCTGAGCTCTTCTTCTGTTCTAGTGCTGCTGTTTTAAAGATGCCATTCAGAATTACCAAAGTTTCTTTGGTGCCTTTCCAGCATATTTTCTGTTTTTAAAGGGATACCATGCTCTGACAGTACATTCAGTTCATTGTAGAAAATTTAGGAGTTACTTCAGCAAACCTTAACTGTTGATTTCAAACCATTTTACCTTTCTTTTAAAAGAAACACATTCAAGGGGGAGGAAAAATGATACAATGTCTGAATTAAAACAAGAAGAAGATGAGACAGCCAGCAGGCTCTTTGCTATGTTATATGCAAAGAGACACCATATAGTCAAAGTGTGTATGGGAGCTTAGATATGGCACGATTCTGTGCTATGCATGACTGGCAAAATTAAAAACCACATCTTTACATTTCTGAAGAACTTGGACAACAAATAACACCATCACATTTTTTCATCTGGAGTTTTCATTTCATGTATCTGTTTGAGTCCTTTCATTCAGTGCAACATGTTTTTCCTGCATCTTGAGAGTAACTGGTAAAAGCAATGTTGTTGGTGGGGTGATTTCTGAGATGATATACAGATAGCTCTGGACAGTTATCAGGGCATGAAAAAGGTTTCCCATTTAGTCTTTTTTTTTTTTTTTTTTTTTTAATGTGTGGAACCCATCCAGTGGAGAGACTGCCCAGAGAGATATTATTGTTGTCACTCATGATTTGATAGAGTCACCTTCAAACTGATGGGATTCATCCCTAGATACACAACAGACTGAGTCAGGATCTCATTGATGGCATGTGAACAACATGGCAGAGATTCATGTGTGGTTCTTCAATGTCCATCTATTTACTCTGACTGCAATGTTACTCTATTTTTTTTTCCCCTGCAGTTCTGATCAGAAATTCCAGGACCTGAGAAACCTTTCCTGCAGCAAATTACACCCAAACTGCCAGGTTCTCATGCACAGTTTAAATTTCAATGAAGTGGTATTTTCCAATGAAAAAAAAAATGTTTAATTGAAAAATTCCTGACAAGCTCTAATCCTATTAACTTCACTGTGGTTGCACATATGCTAATGAGAGCCGTGTGTGTGAGACTGTTGCTAAATTTGCAAAACACAATACCCAGGACATGCATATTATATGTAGTTTGACACAGGCACATATGGTTTATATTCTGTATTCTAAAACAATATTATGAACATTTTATAAGGTTGCAAAAGTAAGTATTGTAAATTCAAGAAATGCAAAAGTTATTGAGGCATGCACTTTGGACTCTCCCCCTCTCCAATGTAATTGGCCATGTTCACCTTCCACTTCCTCTTCTTTCCCTTCTTGTCCCTCTCATATTCCTCCTCCCTCTCCTCAGTGCCTTTCTTCTATGGCTAACCTTCCTTAGCAAATAGCACATGACACACATGGCTCCAATGCAGTACTAGCTGTCAGCGTGAGCTGATGTTGTCTTAGTGCTTTCTCTTATCTCCCATCTGTCCTGTCTACCCAGACTAAGCTCTGCAGGGTAAAGGGTATCCGCTCCTCAGAGTATGGACAATTTACTGCATTGCACTCGACTGATCTGTGGACGTTTCTGTAGCAAGTACAGTTCAGCAATACTTATTTCTATAAATATATGCATTCTGATGTATCTTTAGCTAAGCAATTGCTTAGCTAATTTTTTTTTTTTTTTTACCAGAGGTTCTAATTCTCCTTGTCCACCAAAATTATTACAATTTCCCTATACCTGTGTGTCAGTAGAGATTAAGTAGTTGTCTTTCTTTTGCTAGGGTAACTACTTCACTTTGATGCTCACTGTCCCAAGCCTAGGCAGAAGTCTTTGCCAATATGAAACTTCAGTGAAGTCTTCTGGCACTGTTCATGCACAAGGATTTTACTCTACATTTTAACTTTGAGATGAAATGCAGGCAGACATTTTCCTCAAGAGACAGAACAGAGATGGCTGGGAGAGACATCAACCCAATGGGTAGACGTGTCTCATTGTCTTCAGTCAAGTGAGTGTCTAGACTAAGGTAGACATCTACACTCCATCAGTAGTCCACAGAGATGAATTCCTCTTCAGTGATACCTAATTTAATCATCTGCATTTAGGGACGATAAGTTGTCTTCTGTAAGGATATGCTCTCTCTATTCAATAGATTTAACCATCCTGCTTAGACACCATGGCTAATTATTAGGTGGCTAATGTAGGATATGAAATAATCTCATATTTTAGTGCAGTTTCAGGTTACTTGAGCTGCTGTACTGAATCCTGTTGCTTTGAGGGTCTTGTGTTTCAGGCAGGGTCTTTTGTTGCCACATACAGAATGATGGGAAAGTCAACAAGAGGAGGACTCAACTGTATGTTTCTTGCAACACAGGAGCTGGTCTAAGCTTCAAGTTTTGTGATGCAACACAGCAGTTTCGACAGATATATATTAGTGTTACATTGACCTGAAGCAAAGTGTTTTTATCCAGCTTAACAAGATGAAATATTTAGAATCCAGTTGACTTGACCAAAAGAATGTATTTTGCTTACATTTTCCCTATGGAAAATTGAAACATTTCTGGAGAAAAAGTATTGTTTTCCCACAGACAACTCTTTTTCACTGAAAAAAAGTTTTGATGGAACATTTCCAACCAGCTGTAATTATAGTGCATACATAAAAGGGGCCAAATTGATGCTGTAAGGGCATTCCTAACTGTAATCTATCCATAATCTCTGAGTGTTAGTCTCTGTAACATCATAACTTTTGAAAGTTATGAAACTTTTTTAACATTCATAACTTCTTAAAAACTCACATAAATGGACTGTGTTGTATTCAATGTACACTGAACTGTGCTAAATTAAAGGGCAAACCCATGACAGAGGCAGTCACCTATTAGACATTGGGCAAGGACCACCAAATTCATGTTCATGTCTGAAACTGTTGCTCCATCTGATTCTAAGTCCCAGAAGGTTTCAGTTTTATATCACTAGCAAGTCAAGAGGAGATGCAAATGATAATTCCTAAAGTGTGAAAAAGAATTTGGCTGTTTTTAGGTAAACTGCAATCCAGTTTTCTTGGACATAGGTACATTTTAAGGAGAATGGAGGGTTTTTGCACTCCTCCCCCAACCACTGCTGGAAGTAACAAGCTTATTGCATTTTACACCCAGGTGTTTGCCATAGAATCTGACACATAA